CCCGAAGAGTAGCTTCAATGGAACCTGAGCCTAGAGTTATTTAATGATGCTTCCTCAATTGCTTGGGACTCATACAGTCCAGTGATAGGATAACTGAGAATAATAAACTGAAAAGCATGTGGGTGGAAGCAGGCGTGACCTATTTATAGTATTATACTAGTTTGGAAGGAGTCGTAAGTGGCATGGAAATGCTTTGAACTCAAGATTTCCTGAATACTTCCATCACCAAGATTCAGTTTGTGAATATCTGAACTAAAATTAATATTTAGTCAATTGAGTTTTCTGAACGCTAGCCACAACAAAGTTCTGCACACGCTATCAATTTTCCTCGTACGAAACTTTGCTGCCGTAACTGCAGGTAAACATCAGCTCCAGAATCTTCAGAGTACTTATATTCACTGCAGATAAGTTTCTATACTATGAAGACGGCTTTCCCAACCATGAATTGCTGAGCTCAATCAAGCAGTGACAAGACTTCCATAAGAAGAGCCTGAAATTTGGATCCTCTGTTCCTTTAACGACAAACAAGATTATCCTGGGATAGGAATATTTAATCCGGTTTGCTCAAGGCACATAAGATACTCTCATAGTTTATTTCTGTAAAGCACTTCTGAAGAGACTTACAAATTAAATTAGCTGTCTTAGATAAAGGATAGTGGTAAAATCTGACTTGAGAACTATCATGTCAAAAGCAAGGTACACAGGTGGGCGTATTAAACGTTCATTCAAAGACATCCACAGTTTCAGTATTCTAAACAAATTTATTCTGCTTGATGATTTACTCAGTGATTGTCACCAGCCATATCACGTTGAAAATATCGATTCTCATTCGATCACCAAGGGTGAGCAGCACCGACCAGTACAGCTGCTTTAACGTTTAGCGTAAGTAATTACAGTCGACGAGCTAACTCAAGAGACCACTTGGAGTCTTACGGCCTTCAATAGACATGGTGCGATAATGTGGATTCGTCTCAAACAGACTTGTGCATTTTCTGAGCCCACGTTAACCTTCTTTCTGGTATCATATCAATAAATCCGGCAATTGCTTAAGCATTAAAAAAATAAATAAGGCTCTTTACGATGGCAGGCTATTTATATGTATCTGATGTATATAACAGCAAGTGTCACAGACCGTAGTACCTAAAACAAATTATTAATTAAGGTAGTAAGTAGTAAGGATCGAACGGGGCACGAACAATTTTCAAGTGTAAAATTGAAAAGAGAACAGAAAATATTAATTACTTCTACCCGTGCCGAGATCCCCTCTAGAACTGCTACTCGGCGATGTCTTACAAATGAGACCGGTTTAATTAAATGAGGCACAGCAGTATTCATCCCCACCACTGCCACAGAGACTCGAACTCGATTCTAGTTTATGTAATGCGGAATGTAAAGTTGAACAACAGAGGGGAAACAGGTGAGGTTCTATGCAGGAAATGGTTCTACTCGTACACACATTGTGTCCCCTTGTCTTTCCTCCGTCGTCGTTAGCATCATTCACATAACAGCACGAACGAACTGCCTCGCTCTACGGAAAAAGATATTCATGAACTTAAATACAACTTTTATCCCGGGTAGGGCTTCGAAATTCTCGACAGTATTTCGCAATTGTAATCTTCAATGCACAAAAATTAAAATTCCCCAGACATTTAAAATTCTCATTATACGATTTTCAAATGCGAAATTCACTCTCGCATATCGCTTTTAACAGACAACTTTGCGTTCTGACCATCTTCGTACTTCTTGTATTCCGTATTATGGTTCAACGTCTGCAAATTTAGTTATTGGTTATATATCCTTGGTACGTTCCCAAGTAACGGAATATGAAATGTTACTATCATACGTCATACTTTTCCTACCACTCCTCGCCCCGACCACCCGCACCACTTCCCAGAAAGACTACGACAGACTGCAAAGACTTGACGTAAGAGATCGACAAAGAGCGAGAAAAGACAGACAGATCGATGTAACTTCGCTTCTGTAATAGCGTCATTTGCTCCAGAACAGGACCATCGTGAATCTTGCAGTACTGTGTGAACATTAAACTACTCTCAGAGTCGCTGCCACCAAGAAACTCACTCTCCTTAGACTTCTATACAAGAGTCGTAGAATGGTAGAAGAAACCCCTTGTAAACGTTATCCTGGAACGGACGATTTCGAACCAGCTATCCTTCCAGTAAATACATTTTGTAACTCACTGGGCTATTTATAAACTCCTTCACTTGGAAAGGGTAATGTTTCTTCCATTCGTTGTGGACCATATACTGGCTGGTTCCATTAATGTGAAGTGCCGAAATGCGGCGGACAAATTTGTAAACCTTCATTTAACAGTAAATATTACAACTTCTTAAGAACTTACTTCGGTGTGAAAGGGCAAGTTATCTAACATCATGCAGAGTCCCTCTTAGGGTCTGATAATCGCTCGGCTAATCAAGAAATTTCCCTTATTTTGCGGAACTCGAATGTTCATTGCCGTGTTCATAAAAGCCAGTTACTGGACTCATCCTGAGTCCGTTGGATATATACTAAGACGTCACCCCCGGTATATTCACGAGGCACTTTAATATTATTCCCCATCTACGCCTACTGTCTCCAACAAGGTCTCTTTTCTGTCGGGTTTTGAACTTCCCTTCGCCCTTTCCGTCATGCTCTGACGTAACAGGAATCATCATATGAGTGTAAGGTTACGCTATTGTGATAGAAAATGTACTATGTATTTGTGCAAGATATATTTCTGACAGTGAAGAATCCTCATGAGGGAACTGCCTCAACACAACCACATCGATCGTGACATATTCCACAAGACAGTACCGCCTCCTTTCCACCAACAAATTGGAACTGGAAACCCGTGGTTTCCCCAAGAGCCTGTGACCTAGTTACTATCCACATTACTTTCCATAACAGAACTTCTATCCTTTTTTCAGCGTAGCCTACACACAACACTGAAATATAGGGGAGAGCACTGTATTTTCTGCAATTATTATCATTCTCTTAATTAGGGTGGCTGTATCTGCTGTTTCATGCGCGTTGCAGTAAAATCACTTGCCCCAACCAACATTTCAATTACTATTATGAAATACGGAACCTACTCGGGTTCATTAGTGATCTTTTATCCCACTAAGACGCTGATATGAAACTTCCTATAGTCTTGCGAATGCTGTAAGATGTATAATTAGCAGACTATTATGGTCTCTGCTGGAACGTCTGTGGCATCATGAAAGCAAGTCAGACGTGTACACGTGTATACACATTCAAACACCAACCTCCAGATCAGGCTAATTAGACGTCTCTGTGGACGAGCCCATGAAATCAGTTCACTGAATATTGGTTTCTCTATTTACCTACTACCAAACCATATCACAGTTTACAGGTATTTCCTGCAAGCCACACTCTGTCCTGTGCCAATAAAACATCGCAGATTAAACACTGAGGGCTGATGTAATATCCTGCACGAGTTATATAGGCTGGGCTGATAGCGTTAAGACTCAGACCGGCGTCCAGAGGCGGTAATTGACGTGTTCATTTCCAGTTTTTCTTGTAAGAGGTGTTACACCATCAGTAAATAGTTCTGATACCGTGGGACTGCGATAACTCTTGAAGAAGATAATACAATAATTCCGCGTTCTTTTCTAGATAATGACTACCTTTACAGCACCCAGGGCCAAACTGTACGATTCGTCTATGTCACTAGCTTGTGGGTAGACAAAAAAGACGAAAGCGCTTATGTACCATGTAACCTTAAGACATTAAGACAGCGTGCTACAAAGTACTACTGCTGGGAAATCAGTTTTACAGTGTTGGCAGTACATGCTTACCTACTTGCTAGCCAACCCAAACCCCCAGATGTCCTTGATTTTATTACGTGCAGAGGACGTGGAACGTACAGATTCGCCCCAAATACTGTACCTCTCAAATGTTACAACGTAAAGTAAAGTAAAGTTTGTCCCTCTATACGCCATGTAGGCGCTCTTCCTTGACCTCGGCACTAGATGGGGGTGAGTGGTCAGCATCACGCCCCGGCCGGCTTTACCCCCGGGAAAGGACCCCGGTACCCACTGTAGAGGAGGCTGGGTGGGCCCCAGAGCCGGTCTGGACGCAGAGGCTAGAGGAAAAATCCTATGCCCCTGTCGGGGATCGAACCCCGGTCGCCCAGTCCGTAGCTAGTCACTATACCGACTGAGCTACGCCACACAATAATAATTATAAATATTATCACAGTGTCCACCTTCAAAAGATATGTAGGTAAGAGTCAAGGAATAAATCTTGTGTTGAAGAGAGACGCTCAAAGCGGAGACAGTAATTGTAACGGTTGGGTATTGCATGAATGACATGGCTTTATTTTCCTCCTAGGAACATTCAGAATTTGAAACGAAAGGTGTGAGCACTGCGTATATTCAGGTACGGATGGCACCTTTTCACTCTCCTTCATTTATGATTTTGTAAAGTTATAATTCTAGGTGTGCGGTTTATGTGGGTGTAATTCAAACCATGCACGAGTGTCTCTTATTTTTGCAGTTACGTGAAAGAAAGTGAATTTATTTCTCAATCGACTGAATGTAGAAGAACGAAACCGTTCTGAAAATACCAGTTTCCTACGGAACTCTGTAAACACAAGTGGAAGACATCGCAGTGGAAATAAAATTAAATCTAATACTTAACTCGATGGAAACAAAATTAACTAGAAGTCGAATCGGTGAGAGAATTACTTAGTCTGTAGCAGTAC